TATGAGCTCTAGCAAGCAGTGAAAGATTTTGAAACAAACCTAGCAGTGCGACAACTGCGTAATACGCACCATAACAGTTCAAGCAATTCCCCTACAATAATCAAGATATAAGGAAGACAATAATACAATATTACACATAGTATAGTGCTACACAATCACTTACTTTTCGTAAACAAGCTCATCGTCAACACAGAAATAATGCGTGTGAGCAGTCGATTTGGGTTTTGTTCGCAAAGAAGCGAAGTACAATCGATCTGAAATGAGAAGAAAAAAATTACAGCAAATCTATTCAAGAAAAGTCAGATCTGATTAAGAATCATCACCATCCAAAACCTAACAAACAGGTGTCAAGTACAACTATAGGAAAATGGGGAATTACACAGTCTGCAAACCACCAAATAAGGAGCCTAATCTTAAGTTTGTATAAAACCCCTTTATCTGCAAAACATTTAACAAATAAACTTAGAAAATCATGAAGCTCATAGAATAGAATCTGATGAAAATGAAACAGATTTTTTAGTAAGAGCTAAACAAACCACTGGGGAAGAATTTCAAAAGTCTTGGATAACAAACAGCATCTAATAACAACAAGAACGCAACTTAAACATTTTATTTTTTAAAAAGTGTATAAATTTATGAGAATGGCTGTAAAGCCCAAACAATCCGTCAAATCTTGAGAGACTTGGCAGTGAAACAACATGGAAACAGGGATAAACGGAAAAAAATAAGAAGGGTTGTACTACACCTGGTTTCAAACTATCAGAGCAAAAATAGGGTGAACAAATAATAATTTTTTTAAAACAATTCAATAAATAAATATGTTTCTTAAGTTTCCAGTCCTGCAGCTTCCTTGCAGCTGTGTTCCTCGATAAATTCTATGCAGCAATGATAAATAAGTATGTCAAGAAGGATGACTACCTTTTTATAGCATTTTCTTTTGTCTGGAACAGAAACTTTTTAATTTAAAGGTCACTTTGCTTTAAACAACTTTCAAACCCTTTTTATTTTCCATATCGACCTTTTCAGTGTACTCTTCTCCCTGCATTCGATTTCCGAATAGTCAAAGTCAACAATGTGACCCAGATAACTTGACAAAAACATACCAAAAGACATAAACATCAGGCACTTTGCATTTTTTTATTTTAAAAAAAATTTTTTAATCTTTGATCATTGGTTGTAAGGCAACTGTATCTAAAATCCTATAAGATATTCAAAAATAAAGGAAATGATTTTTTAACATAAAACAGCAAGAACGCAGTACAGTCCTCATGAAAGCCTGAGGTTCAACACACACACACACACTCACATACACACACACACATACACACAAAATGCATGCAACAGGAGCACCCAGAGATCAGGTATAGCATGTTCACATCAAAAGTTTAATAAATGAGAGAAAGGACGTAATTGGCATAAAAATTTTGCTATCATGGCTTGCCCGATTTCGATTACTCTGCAGGTAAAAATGCATTGCAGACCAGCCTGCAATGAGTGATAGTGGGATAATTTCAACTACAGGAAACGCAGATTATGGAAAGTTCCTATAACATTAACATACACTACAGAGAGAATTACCTTTAATATCTGGAACTTAAACGAGACAATGCAAAGACAGAAAATCGGTAATCCTACACTATTGCACTTTTTTACTGATGAAGTTGATAACATTGGAGGAGCAAGTATGGAACAGTCAGAAAGTACCAATTTCCATAAAAATACAGAAAATACATCAATACAGACAACCCACATTTTGAATATAATTTCTCGCATGAACGCACTTGATGGCCCTTATATTGTCAGTCAGTTCTTCAAAACTTTTTGTGTAAACGTGCTGTTTAACCGTTAGAACAAAATACAACCAAAACATACAATATAATAACAAGAAACACAACACGACTAGGATTAGGTCTAAGACTACTAAATATTATAAGGTCAAAATTCTTAGCGTTCCACTGGCTTTACAAGACACTATGATTATACATGATGACATGTTACAATGCCAGGAAATTACAGTCAGAAAAATAAAATAAGTAACTGAGCCACAAAGTAGGCCTATGTCAGCAAAATCGAGGACGGTTGTGCTTGTGAATAAAATGTTGTACCCAGACAGGGATGGGGAAGGCCCAAGGGAAGATAGCGGCTGAGTTTTCAGTGAACTAACCCAGATCAGAGAGAGTAAGGGAGGGCAGAATTTCCTTCTAGTAACCGTGATGATAGATCAGATTGATTGAGCTTTTAATCAACGTCTCACTTCTAGAGAAACCACCCATTCCACGCAGACAAGTGACAATTTCAATTAAAATCTGTCCATATTAGACTACTCTTCTGTCACGCTCTGAAAACTTATGATCTCTGTTCAGTTAGACTTCCTCCAATGGACCATTATTAACTCTTGTCCTGCGTCTTGCGCAGAGAAGCGAATCTTATCAGTAACCTACTATTACGTCGGACATTCCCGGCGAGCCGGCGGGGTCAGCCAACCTAGGTCATTCAGTGTGTACTGTTGATGTACAGTAGAGTTGGGTAGGGCTCGCTAAATCAGTAGTTACAAACTACTCGCTGGCACTATCCGCCGGACGGGTAACGAGCCGTCCGCTTGTGAAGAGTAGTTCGCTACACATCTGACAGAGACAACACTCAGTTCATTTAGCGAGCGGACAGAGAGAACCCATGCATTCAAGCGGGCGGACAGACGGGGAGACTCCTTCCATTGCATACTACTTACACCAACCCCTAAAAAAAAAACCCTCCTGCCCCAAATTGTAGCTAGGCGTTCATGGCGGAAATTCCTTTACCCT